CCAATCCTGCATACAATTTTATAGATGCTTAATTTCCATGCATACATGTGATGTGTCTACAGTCTTTATTTTTTCCTCAGTTTATTCATAAAAAACAGGGGAGCTGAGAGACCGGATTGCTTATAATTGCTTTGAGATACTTGGACAAAGGGTTCTATATAAGTGCAAAGTAACATCATTAACTCAAATTAAGTTTTAAAAAAATATGCAGGAATTTCTCACCTTTTTCTTATTTATCTAACAAATTCTTACAAAATAAATATACAGGAAAAAGGGATATTTTGCTGAGTTTTTGTAAACAAGTTTTGTCTTGTTAAAATCCTACAATATCTTTAAAAAAAATACCAACACCCCTCAGATTCTGAGGATGCACCTTCAAGTACGGTTGCCATTATAACCCATTGTAGCTTTACTTTTGTAGTTAGGATATTACCAGAATGCCTAACCTTTATAGTACAATCTGTTGACCCAAAATATCAGATGCAATATTTGGAAAGTTGGTATAATATAGCTTCTTGACATTCGTAGGTAACTCAACCAATTTTAGAGAACGCTGTATAATTAATCTATATCCTCAGAAGAAGTCATCAATTTCTTACCAGTCATCTACTATTTTTAATTATCCTTCATTATTTCTATTATGCTCCCAGTTTCATAATATTTAAATCAGTAATACTTTCCAAAAGCCAGTGTGCAACAACTTTCTATATACCACAAATTCATATTGCCAGACTACTGTCTATTGCTACATAGATAAATAACTTTGCAAATTATTTACCGTCTTACATTTAATCAGGTTTTAGGTGACTAACATTCTTAAGGCAAATTCATTTACATGACTGGCAGTCTAGTTTCTTGGTATGCGCTACCAAAAATAAAACAAAAATGCATCCGAGAGGCAATGAACAACATGAATGAAATTTATTCTCTCACCTCTGTATCCACAGAAGTTACTTCCTAGAATGGAGAGAAGCACTTACCCCTTATACTCTTTCTTATAATAATAATGTGATTTTTCATTTGGCATTTTGTGCAAATCCAGTAAAACATTAAGGTGCATTTTAAGAGGTGAAAGTTGCAATGCATTAGAAGATTATATATTTTTGGATGCTCTTGACAAATAGATCTGAGAATATAGGGAAGTATCAATTTAAAGCTACAGAACCCTTTTAAGAACTATGCATCTCTATTGTCACTAGTTATAAGATCTGACGAGCCCAAAAGGATTTTATGTAACAAATGACACTGTGCAATATGAAACTGCAGCTAAGAGTGGATTTTCTAAGCACATATTGAACTACATTAGAACTTGTCTGTTATATTGCTGTGTAAGATGCTATTGAATATTTTGCTGATTTTTATGTGAGAATAAAAACTGGCCTTTAAGAGAATACCCTTTTACTATATAGCTGTGTACTTAAGTGCAATCACAGTGCAATCGCATTTGTCAATATAAAACCAAACTAAGCAAGCATATTTTGGTGAAGTTGTTATAACTCCACACACACCAAAAATGCTTAGTGCTTTTTTTAAGTCTCATACATCATTTCATTTTTGCAATTTCAAATGCCCCGATAGGACTTTGTATGGAAGTAACTGGCTACTAAGGTTCAGAGGATTTTGGAACAAAGCAGAGACTTTAAACTGAATGCTGTAGTCATCTCTGGGAAAGACAAAGGTGGTAAATTATCGATTAGCTTTATATTTAGACGCATCCCTGGGTTCACTGCTAGGATTGCTCCAATCATCAGCTTCAGGTGTAGTCTTGTAGTGTCGCCATGCTGACTTATTAAAAACCGGAAGTCTTTCAAATGATTCACTTGAAAGAGCCTATAAAATGATAAGAGCAATGGTAAGAAACTGTTTGAGAGACGTAAAGTGCTATACATGATAACCAATGCTTTGTGAACACTAACTTCTGCATCCAACAAAAGCTTCAACTATTTAAAATTGTATGTATGCCCCACACATGAAATTTTAGAAGCCACTTTGACTAAACTTCTGGTGACCCAGTTAAAAATGAAGTTTACCATATTGCAATAAAAATCCATGAAAAAATCATTTTGAAATGCTCCCATCTCCAAGGAAATGGAAGCTACAAAGAGAATAAAAAGAAAGCAATAAAAATAAAAGTTTTAGAGGAGATCCCTTTGGGTCCTTTTATGGGAATGGCTGTAGATCAGTGACTCCAGCCTACTGTACTCCCTTCAGGAGTCTGATTTGTCTTGCGTATCCCCAATTTTTACCTCAGTTAAAAACCACTTGTTTACGAAATCACACAAAAATACAAAAAGGTCATAGTACACCATTACTGGAAAATTGCTTATTTTCTCATTTTTATCATATAATTATAAAATAAATCCTTTGGAATATAAATATTGTATAAATACATTTCAACATACCTGTATATAAAGTGGTACAAACAAGTCACTGTCTGTATGAAATTTTAGTTTGTACTGACATCACTTTTCATGAAGTAAACGTAAGCAAATTTAGTTGAGAACTATAGCAGTACATCATGGGGGGAGAGGAATCTCTCAGGTAAGTAACCAAGACTCAAATAATATAGGGCATTTAAAGCAAACTGCTTGAATCCAACCAAAAGGCTTATTTCAAGCCAGTGTACTTCAGACTGCTAGTCTGTGCAGCTGCACTGAGTAAGTACTTGATAAGCAATTATTCACAGGCCAGAGGTAGAGCTAACATGATTCATCTGAATCTAGAACTACAGCCAAATGGCTGTGCAAAATCCAGACAAGTCTGAGATTGTGTTAGTGGGTCAAGTGGAAGCAGCTGGAAGAGGTGGCAGAATTCAAAGAGGGACTGCAACTGCCAGTTGTAACACAGGTCCATAAATTGGGGTTTCTGATAGATCCTGGAATGCTCTTGGATGCACTGGTAGCAGTTATTTCTATGCTTTGCATTTTCCTGAGCCGGTAAGCTCACCCAACTACTCACTTTCTCTGCAATGAGGACCCAGCTACACTTAACGTATCTTTGTTTCTAAAGTGTAGACACAGGTCAAGTGCATTACACTCTGTAATCTTGAGTTGACACTCAGAAGCTGAAGCTAGTGGAGAATTGCTACCACATGCTTACTCAGCACAGTTGCACAGATTTATCTAATTTATCTGAGGCCTAGTTACCTACCTGAAAGATGCCTCTCCCCCTACCCCATGATATACTGCTTTAGTTGAACCCTGCAGAAACACTCAAGATGAACTCCCTAAATATACAGGAAAGGATGTGGTGGGCAGAACATTCTCCATGAGGATTTCTCTATTTTGGAAGCTATTTCTCACTTGTCTACCCAGAGCCCGGAATTTGTTGTCTGGAAATGTTGTAAAGCTCAAGGTTGGGGTGGTATTTTTAAACTTTTATTGTTAAAACTGCAGAGGAAGGTACAGCCTGAGGCAGCTATATTATTGGTAACTCTTTATTGGTATTTGTTACTTTTTTTGGCTTTCGGGATAACGTCCAGAGCACTGGATGGGCATCTATAGATATATTTTTAAAATCGGAACAAATAAATCAATATGCAACAAAGGCTCCACATTTGAGATTCTGAGTAAGTCTTTCACATTGAATGTATGAGCAAAGAGCAGCAACACAGGCCTTTCACCTTTTTTAGGTGTAAAGAGCTGCCCAAAAGCAGTGCCCAATGTCTCTCAAGAGTCCACAGATTCCAAGACCAGAAGGAACTGATATGATCAGCTAGTCTGACATCCTATATGACACAGGCCATAGAACTTACCCAAAATAATTCCTACTACATATCTTTTAGAAAAACATCCAATTCTGATTTATAAACTTGCCAATGATGGAGAATCAATCCTTGGTAAATTCAAAACAATGATTATCTATCCTTCATTGCCAAGGGTTAAGGGTGATCCTAAAGGGCTGAGGCCCAAAGATAGGAGAAGTAAAAGTGAGAAAAAAGGAGGACAAGAAAAGAACAGAAATTGAACATTTTAACCTTTACCATTATTCTATACTCCCATCTACACTTCACTAGGGATGCTAGTGCATAGTTGACTACCTAAAAAGCATAGGCTGTATGAGAGAGTCAGCGCGAGGGGAGGGGTGGGAAACAGGAGACAGTGCTGTGGGAAGCCAGCTTAAAAGACGGTTCCCCCCAGCACCATCTCCGCAGTGCCACCTGTCCCCCTTTCCTCTCCAAGTGCCTCTGATAGACAGCAGCCCCTGTCCACAGGAGTCCTGGGGGGAGCTGGGGCCCCCCCATGGACAGGACTGCTGCCACCAAGGAGCCCCTGTTGGCTGCAGCCTGGGCTGGCCACAGCCAGAAGCTGCTGGACTTGGCACAAGCTGGGACCAAGCAGGTCCCACTTGCGCTAGTTTGGGATGCTGCACCTCTGAATTTTAAATGTAGTAAGAGCCCAGTGGCTCTTACTACATTTAAAATGTAGAGTCACAGTGCAGTTGACTCATGAGCCAACACGAGCCAGGACTGCTGAGTCCTGGCTTGAGCTGGTTCCAGAAGCTACCTCCGCTGGAGCTCTGCAAAGCGGTACTTATCGACTATTTCTGCAATCGATACAAATTGTATCAAGTACACAATTAGCTAGATAACCGCAATTTAATATCCTTACACTCTACTCCTGTTCTCTCAATTTAATTGTAGTCACAAGTGTTAGAAAACAAAACAACAAAATTATTAACAAATACTGCCTGCCATGACCTGAGGCTCTTTGATATCTCATCACTTTAATATTGATCAAAATCAGAATAGGAAACAAAGACCCAATAATTAAGAGATTAAAAAATACTGGAAACAAACTAATGCAATATCAAACCCTGTGGTCAAAAATGAACATCTATAACTTCCATTTTAAGTATTCTGTTTGTCTGATATAAAGTACAAAAAATACAAATAAAAAAACCGTAGAGATACTAGGGAAAAATTTTGAATGTGAAATGAGAAGCAGTTGACTGTTTTGCCTGACAAAAGAATTCATTATATTAAATGAATTATGATGGAATTAAGTTGTTACCTTCAAATAAATTACAGCATCAGTACCCACGCCTTCCATTGAATAGAGTTTGAGATCACCTTGAAAGTATCTCGCATAAAGACGAGAGATTGGCAAACCATACCCAAATCCAGCCTATAAAACAAAACAAAAAAACTTGTGGTGAGATAAAAATCAATATTCTGTAGCAGCTATAATTATTTATCAAAAGAAGATTAAAGAACACCAATTACTATATTTGCATCCATTTGCCCATCAGACTTTCTTTTGCTCCCCAGTCTATATAACATATTGCAGCCTGCCTCCATAAAATTTACTCGCTTAAATATGAAACGAGAAAAATTACTAACAGCAGCAGTATGTTTTGGCAACATACAAAAATAAAGACTAAATCTTTAGTAGACTAGCACATGCTTGCTATTACTTTCTGAACTACACAATTATTTTAGCAGATCAAACAGTAAGTAGTCCCCAGAAAACAAGAGGATGATGCTCTCTACAGCTCTTTTGTAAGATCGCTTGTGCTGCAATATTCCACTCATTGTTAGTGGCACTAAGTATCTGACAGCAGTTTATTATCTTCGATTAAAATATGAAAAAGCAAGACATAGCCCTACACACTTCAGCTGATCTAATAATATACATCAATGATAGCGGATGGCATGTCGCAACAAATCGCCATGGAGGACAGAAATGAGATGTAGTGAAAGTAATGACTGCAACTTTATTCAATTATATACATTAGGGGGTTGTGCCCCCTGCTTACTGCACTCACCAACCCCACCCCTGGCGGGGGGAAGGCAACCCTGGCTCTTCCTGCCAGCCACCAAGGAGGGCCAGGCTGCAGCCACACCAGCCTAGACACCTTCATAGAATCATAGAACTGGAAGAGACCTCAGAAGGTCATCAAGTCCAGCCCCCTGCTCTAGGCAGGACCAATTCCAACTAAATCAACCCGGCCAGGGCTTTGTCAAGCCAAGACTTAAACACCTCTAGGGATGGAGACTCCACTACTTCCCTAGGTAACCCATTCCAGTGCTTTACCACCCTCCTAGTGAAATAGTTTTTCCTAATATCCAACCTGGACCTCTCCCACCGTAACATGAGACCATTGCTCCTTGTTCTGCCATCTGTCACTACTGAGAACAGCCTCTCTCCATCCTCTTTGGAACCTCCCTTCAGGAAGTTGAAGGCTGCTATCAAATCCCCCCTCACTCTTCTCTTCTGCAGACTAAACAGACCCAAGTCCCTCAGCCTCTCCTCATAAGTCATATGCTCCAGTCCCCTAATCATTTTGGTTGCCCTCCGCTGGACCCTCTCCAATGCGTCCACATCCTTTTTGTAGTGGGGGACCCAGAACTGGACACAATACTGCAGATGCGGCCTCACCAAAGCCGAATAAAGGGGAATGATGACATCTCTGGATCTGCTGGCAATGCTCCTCTTAATGCAACCTAATATGCCATTAGCCTTCTTGGCTACAAGGACACACTGTTGACTCATATCTAGCTTCTCATCCACTGTAACCCCCAGGTCCTTTTCTGCAGAACTACTACTTAACCAGTTGGTCC